GCTCCCTACACTTGCATAACAGAGAGTTTGATAGGGAAATGTAAAAATTTTCAGACATAGGTAAATCACAGAGATTATCTAAACTACATAAAATGTTCTACAAAGGATTTACTATTGGGATTCATGAAATAGAACTCATAATGTAAAGAATTATCTTTCAAAAATTACATAAAAAATAAAGAATTATCTTTTTAAAAAAGGTTTGATTCACCTAAAGGAACACTCTTCAAGGTGAGGGATACTTGTAATAAAGTTTGATACTTGTCAGTGGGGTCTGTGGCTGAGCTCTACCAATCACTTTGCTTGCTACTTGCTAATAATTGCATTTGACTGAACCCCTGCAGATTGAAAATATAGTAAACACCAATTCTGAGGATTATTGGTAGGAAATTCTGCTTTCAAATTAATGAGAGCACCCAGAATTCTCTGCTTTATGGCCTCATTTATTGAATCAATTAATATTTATTAAGTACCTATTATGTGCTGGGCACTTATGGACGCTAGGGCTACAGCAGTAGAAAAGACAGACCGAGTCCCTCTGTTCATGGAATATATATTCTAGAGGGAGAAAACAGATAACAACAGTAGATAGAAGTATGAAAAAGGAAGGCAGGGTTATGAATGAGAGGGTGATGGAGGGAGAGTCAGCAGCTATTTTAGATCACTGAGGCCTCTCTGATAAAGTATTATTTGAACAAAGACCTGAATGCTGAGGATTATTTGATTTTATGGGTGAAAATGATAGACTCTGTCAACAGTTAATCTCTTTGTTATATATTGTAAACTATGATTATTTATTTATTTTGCAGCTGGCTGGTACAGGGGTCGGAACCCTTGACCCTGGTGGTGTAACACCACGCTCTAACCTGCTGAGCTAACTGGCCAGCCCTGAACTATGTACATTTAATAACCCATTTCTTCTCTGGTGTAGGTTGTGAGACAAGGGTTTGGGATAAAGAAAATGGGAGATTTTTGGGGGTCTTTCTTTTTTTTTTTTTCTTCTCTTTTTGTCGTTTTTACTGACCGGCAACGGGATCGCAACCCTCAGTGTCGCGCCCGCACCGCGCTCAGCCAGTGAGCAGGAACCGGTCTCCACATGGGATCCGAACCCTCGGCGGGAGCACCACTGTGCTCCCAAGTGGCGCACTCTCCAGTGCGCCACCGGGCCGGCCCTTGGGAGTCTTTCTGATAAGTTAAAAACACAATAATAAAAAACAATAAATAATTTAAGTATAAGTCTAGGACATGATTCCAGCACATTTTATGCAAACATAAACACTTATGGTAAAAGAGGTTATTGAGTATAAAAGATAAAACTTATACTCCAAAATCAGATTTGGTTTGAAATATGGATTCCAGATCCATAGATTTACTATCTGTGTGGGCTTGGGAAAGTCACTTCACCTTTTATGATTCTCAATTTTCATCTCTATAGAGGCAAGATCATTACATCTTGCATATTTTAAAGGAGGTTAATGAAAAAACACAAGGTTCACAGTAGACACTCAATTGTAACTAGAATTTTTACCATACATATAAAAACACCAAGCACAGTGTCTGACCCAATGCAGGTGCCTGCCTGCTGTTTCCTTCCTCTGTGTTTGCATTATCAGTTTCTCTGCAAGTTTTCATTTGTACAGATAAACAAGACTTGATGGTATGTGCATTTTTGCTTGATAGGATTTCATAGGACTCATTTCATCAGTGCATGATTAGCTTCAAAGCTTCAAATCTAACCCGGTTTTGAGATAAGTGGGTAACAAAACTAAGTGGAGAGAACAAACGCAGCACTGTAAGAGAAGTAAAAGTCAGCCTGAGGTTGTCCGATGTTTTTAAACTAACATCATCTTTAATCTACTATGCCCTTCTTCCCAGATAATAAGAGCTGTGCACTAAAAGTGCTGAGATAAACTAATGGGGAACAGGATACTACAAAAGACATTTGAAAGAGCCCATGCAATTTACTGCTTGTCTGGTTTGTTTTACTTTCCAAAGTCTTCCTGTTGCTCAAGGAAATTTGTCTCTTCTGGCAACCTTCAGGCCTCTTTTGGCCAGGGAGTCCTGAAAAAGCATTTGAGGGCAGGTAAACAGATGCACAGCTCTCCGAGTGAGGAGCAAGTACAGGCCCTGCTTCCTGTGTCACATCTGAGGCATAAACAAAGTATTCTTAGTACTTGTTTGAAAGAATTATCCCAAATGTAGTCAACCAAAAAGCTTCTGGTGCATTCAGATATACATAACTCCCAACATATTTCTGAAGGTAATTTACATGAGTGAACCACTAAAAGCCTCCTACTCAATTAACTGTACCCCTGGGGAAAAGCTATGCAGGCCCAGAGAAGTGTGGGAACAACATAAAGGTGTTCTCTGTGCCAAAAAGGGGATTGGGCTTGATGGAAAATCCCCAAAAAGGACCATCTGGCAGCATAAATTATCCATTTAAAATGGCTGGTGTGAGTTAATGACACTAAAGTCACCATGAACATGTGCAACATCCTTCAGTTGAGTTTTAATGTCCCCTCAGGCCCTGTTTCAATTATGACCTTCTATGTTGAATATAGCCAAATGTAAATTTATCCACTGTCCTCCCCCACAACCCACAAACATATACCATGAAAGTGCATTTTTCTATAAGGAAATGGGGATGGAGAATGGACAATCAGTCCAGGAATGCAATTGTGGGGGATTCTTTAAGAAGAGAGAGAGAGAGAGAGAGAGAGAGAGAGAGAGAATTTCCCCCTGAAAAGGATTCAACCATTAAACTTTAGTTATTTAATGACTGCAAAGGATATAAGTATTCACATGTTCAAATTTATGATCATTTGAATCATAAAGTACAGATAGGAATAGGAGTTACACAGAGTAAACGAGTCACTAGGTCAAAGTACGCTATATTCAACCAGCACCCACTGCCCTCAAATACACCCAGCAGACGGCTACATAAGGAACTAGGGAACAGTCTTATGGTGACGGAACTTCATGCACATCAACATAATAAAGCAGTTTCGATATGCATAAAAATGTATCAATATAATACTCAAGCACAAATGTACCAAACCTACATATTTGGTTCTGATTCTCACTGAAGCAGGTAAATTGGCTAGGACTCTAATGAAGCTTTTAAAAAGAGTTCAAAGAAGTTTTTTTTTCTTTTAATTTTTTAACAGCACATAAACGTTTCACTGGCATTATACTGAGGTCACGCTGACGCTGCGGTTAATGGCAATGAGAAGTCAGCGTTTTCTTTCTCATTTGGGCCTGGGTTTATTTCTGAGCCACTTTAGGCAAACTGACGTGAACAGAAGTGAGGAGTGAAGCTGACCTTTGCAGAAGAACCACTACATCCTGAGGGCCTTGCGAGTAATAATTAGAAAAAGAAGGCACCGGAGGATACGACGGCCATCCCTGCGCTTCCCACATCATAGCATAATGATCTGTGGATGCGTCCGTTTCCCACCCCTGACTGTGAATTTCTTGAAAGCAGGGGCTGTAGCCTTCCCATCCACGGCTGAGCTCCCAGAGCCTGGCACAGTGCCTCACACAAAGTTCCCAGTGAAGACTGCTGAATGGGTCAAGGGGAGGCAGAGGCAGAGGCAAGGCAAAGAGAAATTTTTACATTTTAGTAAAGAGAGCAAGATAAAAGACCAGCCATCCGGGCCTGAGGTTTTTTTGTTTTGTTTTTAATTGTGACGAGGCAGAGGCAAGGCAAAGAGAAATTTTTACATTTTAGTAAAGGGAGCAAGATAAAAGACCAGCCATCCGGGCCTGAGGTTTTTTTGTTTTGTTTTTAATTGTGACATGACAAAACTAACATGGGGGGGAGGGACACACTTCTGTGAATGTTAACACTTGTGTAGATTACTGTAACCATCACCACAATGAGGATACAAAACAGTTCCATCACCCCCAAAATCTCCCTTGTGCTGTTCTTTTATAGTTACACCCTCTGAGAATTATCTTTTGAAAAAATGTTAGGGAGGAGACAGGGGAGCTAAGATTTAAGGATGACGGGGTTAGTTCTGAGATTTTCTTGGTGCTTGTCTGTTCTTGCAGGGAATTGCTCTGAGGCAGGGGTGGGGAAGGATGGACAGAGAAAATTTTTTTCATACTTACTCTACGCTAGGTATTATTCTTAGAAGGGTTACATATGTTACCTTATTTAATCCTCAAGAACATTTAAACGGCTATTATTACTGCCAGATTATAAAAATGGGGACAGAAACTCAGAGAGGTCAGGTAATTTGCCCACAATCACACAGTCAGCAGGAGCTGGAGTCCAAGATTACACTCTCTCTGATTCCAAAGCCCACACTATCTTCTATACCCATACGACTTATACTGGGGAAGGTTTGGAATAGATTCCCTCTTACCCACGTGGAGGTTAGATATTGATAAAGGTTTCAAAAGCTTCTATCAGAATTATTCATATTATCTTCAAGACTCCAGAGCCGACTAGACAACCCCAGGAGGTTAGACTAGCAGTCATCCTTTGCTTAGTTTAGTACCGATGGGCATGAAGAGTTGTTCTATTTAAATAGAAAAACAGTCACAATGGTATCCAGCACTAGAAAAAAAAAAAAGCACAAAGTATTCTCATTTTATAAAAATCTGAGCATAAATGGTAACATAAGGAACCCCCTTCTCCTTTCTAGTGTTACCAATCCAGTTGAAAAAGTTGATAGATTCTTATCATGATTATTAAAACCTAATTTGAAAAACTAAGCCAAAAGCTAGCATAAAAACAAACCCAAAAGTCAATGGAATGCTGGATGGTAGTGTAGGTGACAATATGTCAGAGCAGAAAATCACACGCCACTCTGCCCAGTCTTTGGTTTCAGGTGAATCCCTGCTCTGCACTGCTACCCTTTTATAGCAAGTGTTCGTCTCGAAAAAGTCAACTACCTTGAGCTTCCCTTCTTCACATCCATGCATTGCCAGGGACCCCACGTGCAGTATAGACTTCCAGTGTCAGCCACACACCGTCCCCTCACCCTGCTTACCTGGCTCCACTTCATGCCATCCGCTTGACTGACTGCCACTGCCTGGGGAGCGCCCTTGGCCTGTATAAAATGGCTCTTCACCAGGACTGTCCATTTCATCCTCCACAGACTTGAGGCGCTTTGTGGAGCTGCAATAGCAAACGGGTGCATGTTTAAAAGCAATCCAAACCACCTTTCTCTTGGACACGGCATCTCTGGTTGAAAGCAAGCCAAGAGAGGAAGCAATTGGGCAACCTAGTGTAGTTTGAGGGCTCTTTTTAGGCTCTCATTCAGTTTGGTGAGTCACTGGATGTAGAACAGAGTCTTGGGTCTGTGTTGTTCCAAGTGTCTGGGTTTGATTTTTATTGTCACTCAAGTTGCTGTTTCTGCCACATCCTGTTCCTTTTCCTATGGGGAATTAGTGGCTGGTTCCTGCTCCTGTCTCCACCCAGAAGTGTCGGTAGTTTGCCCACATATTTCCAATCTCCACAGGCAGTGCTGGGGCCTGGCCATTGGCAATGTACCTAGACATCAACTCAATCCCTGCTGGCACCCCAGAAATGATAAAAAGCAGGGCTCATGATCCTTCAAAAAAGCCTTGGATTGCTTTTTTGGGGGGCCCACATTTTGCCATCTTCCACTTGGATTTTTTCATTCAAAAAATATTTAGTGCAAGATACAGTAGTCCAGGCACTACTCTAGACACTAGAGATAAGACAGTGAACAAAACAGATAAAACAGGAGGAAGGACTGGACTGCCCTGTAAGAGTGAGGGACATGAAAAAAAAGAGTGGCCCAGTGACTTTTACGCATTTCCCCTACATGGATATTACCAAAATGAAATTTCATTCCATAAGGGTAGGGATTTTTGTTTTTTGGAGAGGTATGGTAGAGAAACTTCCAAAGCGTATCTCATTTCTTCCAGATGAAGGACTGAATTTTTCTCCCAATTTGAGTCTTCAGGAGTGAAAAAGTAGAGAAATGTACCTGCTGCTATTCTGGTAGTACCTGTCTTAATTGAGATGCCACCAGCATACTACCAGAATGGGTGAACTTCACACCTAGTGGAAGTGCTTATTGGGAAATCTCTTTCTCATGGTTCAGAGTACAGAATATTTCGCATGTTTCCATTCATCAAACACTCACTGCATACATCTCATGTGCCAGGTGCTGTGCTAAGTGCCAGGATATAGAGGTGAGTCAGACACGACCCCTGCCTCCACGGATGGAGACAGAGAAGCAGCAAAATTGTGCAAAAGGGAAATACAGTATCATGATGGAACCACGTAGAGGTCACAGGATGGAGGAAGGACATGAGGATGCCTGGAGGTTGGGAAAGGCTTCCCAGAGATGCCTCCTGAGCTATCTCTTTAAGAGCGTCAAGGAGGCAGGGAAGAAAGAAGGAAAGGGCAGAACGAGGCTGCTATCAGCTGATGCACCATGCAGGCAGCCATTGTGGTTTTTAAAATATTGAAATACTTCTTTACCAATTGGCCGAGGCTGCTATCAGCTGATGCACCATGCAGGCAGCCATTGTGGTTTTTAAAATATTGAAATACTTCTTTACCAATTGGCAAAATGTCATTGTCTCTAGCCCCATACATTTCTTTCAAACTTGCCTTCCCTTCTTTGCCCCCAGGACACCCTTATGAACCCAAAACTAAAAGGTTAATGTCTGGCCCCGCAGGGGCATTCCAGAACCTCACCATCCAAGCCCCACGGCAGTGCAGCATATGCCCTAACTGGTATGCTCGTGTCACACAGGCAATCAGATACCTCGACCACTGCCCCCAGGTGCACATCAGGCAGAAGCAACATCATGAGTAAAGTGTGGTACATTCAGAGAGCTGCCAGCTGTGTAGGACGGCTGACTCTGAAGGAGTGGCGCAGCGGAAGAGCAGGGGGAGGTTAGGGAAGATACTGTAATCTGGATTTTATCCTCTCAGCAAGGGAGACTCCCAGGAATAGTCTCGACAGGGAGTGACGTCGGAGTTATATTTTAGAAAGGTTATTCTGCAGAGATGGATGTAGAAAGGCAAAGGGAAAAGAAGGGGATGGAGCCTAGGGGCAGGGAGACAGTTCAGAGGCTACTGCAGCCATCCCCAGGAAAAAATGTAGAGGATCCAATTTAAGTCAAAAAATTATAATTACTAATGTTGGCATTCCAGTATTCTCAGCCATTAAGTTCCATTCTCATTAAAGCCAAACCACAGGAAAGCAACGTAACTGTATCCCGCTAGTTTAGTACTCAAAGAAAATGCCTTTAATAGCTTACTTAATGTTCTTTGCTTGACTTTCCACAAAGTTCAATAAAAAATAGCCACTTGAAGAACTTTTCTATATTTTATGTAAAACTGCATCTAATGGAAATCCTTTAAAGGGGGTATACACAAAAAATTCCCACTAATACACAATCAGAAAAATATGGTCTCTTTAATTGAATTTCTTTTGTTTCCTTTTGTTAGAAAATGTGAATCATATGACCTATTGTTTCCCCTTCTTCCCTTGGCAACCAGGAAGCTCAGAGGTACATGTGAGGCATAACTCTTGGTTCAGGTTCCTGATATAACAATCTCTCCTATCTTTCCAAATGGCTTCTGGCCTCTCATTCTATATTTAGAATGTTGTGTTTTAAAATTGAAAGCCATTTGAAATCATCTTGGAAGTGGGAAGGATACAAAGTGGAAAAAAATAAATATTCCCCTGAAATACCCTGGCAGATAAAAGGCGAGCCCTGTATGTTCTGTTCTGACGGGGCTGAGAGATCTGTGGGGAAAATGACTATCTTTCTTTTCTTCTTCTTCTTTTTTTTTTTTTTTTACTTTCCAGTGCCTACCTAGTGTCTGGCTAAAAACAGATGCTCAAAACCTGCTGAATTGGGCTGCTGACTTAGAAACAACCATGAGTACACAAGGATTCATCCAAGTATCAGGATTCAATGAAATCCAACCCAAAAGGCCAACCCCATTGTCCATAATTTTCCCATTATTTATATTTTTCTGATTGTTTAAAGCTTTCGATCTCCTTGGATCCTCTAATAAAATGCAAACACCCCATGCAGGTATTAAACCCTAAAAGTGAAAGATTCTGTAGTTATTAGCTGATGCCTTAGTTTGGAAGCAAGGACGTGCAAGAGTTGACACAAGATAAAACATTGGAGGGTGGAGGTGCAAGATGGAAGAGAGAAGAAATCGGGAGTGAAGAAAGTTAGCAATGCCAGGAAGGACAGGTGGAGCACTTTCAAGGCAAAGTTTACTGACTTCACAAACTGGACACTTGGTTTATCTTGATGAAGTTTTTTGGAGTATAAGATGCACTTTATCCCAATTTTTAACTTGGAGATGTTTACCCTGAAGGGATATAGAACCTACAGTTAACACCAATCAATCACTTTTATTTTTTTACTTCTGGAAATGGATCATTCATTGGTTTTGGTTTCTTACTCTTGACTTTTTAACACACTGATTCTATTCTCCTAGAAACATTTGAGGAAAGGAGGAAAGCACCAGAAAGATCTATACATAAAGGGAGGATAAATATTCTCCTAAGGAGTAATATGCCATCTCATAGGTGGAATTTGTTCTTGTGTTCCTAACAATTCTACCTAAGAATTGGGGTAATAATTATTATTCCAAACATTTGCTTAATTCCTACTATGTATAAGTCCTAGAAGCCTTAGTGTCCATAAGACTGCAAAAAGCCTCTTTATAGAGTGTTTGTAGTATCCTGAACTGAATATTTCCATTTACTTTGCCGTCTCTACTACTAGACTGCTAAGGCTTCTCTTATTTGACTGTATACCCACAAGGCTGAGGACAATATCTCTGGTACTTACTAATGTTCATTGCTGAATTGGAAGAGTCAGAAACTGTCATTCAAGGGACTTATAGTCCAGAATGGAGGCAGCACATGCAAGGGTACTTCAAAAAGTTTGTGGAAAAACAGAAGTAAAAGATAATACAAATCCTTCCTGAATTTTCTGAAGTACCCTCATATACATACCTGAGAGATGGTAACAATAATTCAAGACAGCAAATGCCAAGTGTGGGGAAAAGTAGATAAGATACCCCTTTTGGGGGCCTCATATTCTATTGTTCCTTACTCAGAAGAGTCAGCCTTTTCTGAAGTACCCTCATATACATACCTGAGAGATGGTAACAATAATTCAAGACAGCAAATGCCAAGTGTGGGGAAAACTAGATAAGATACCCCTTTTGGGGGCCTCATATTCTATTGTTCCTTACTCAGAAGAGTCAGCCCCATTCTGAAGAGAATTCAGAGTGTAGAAAGCAGTTTTTAAAGTTTCAACAGACCCAAGTTTTAATGTAGACTCTGCCATTTATCAGGGCCATGACTTTGGGCAAGTTACTTAACTTCTCTGAGATTTGTGTTGCTCCACTGTTTAAATGTCAACACTATGTATCCTATAAAACTATTGTGAAGATTAAATTAGATTAAGTATGTAAATCACCCATGTAATCAGGTATGTAAACCACAGAGTAGGTGACCAATTAATATTGGCACAGCATGAACAAATACTGACTGATGAAGTTTTCTATATGTAAATCTGGAGTATTATTCTGGGCACATTTTCTGACCTGTACACAGATAATTCTAATGAATCTATGTATTTAAAGAATTTTTTAAAAAAATAAATCATCCTAGGAAGAGCCTAATGAGAATAAAACAAACATATTACTGAGTTATTCACTACTGATGCTGTTCATAATTAGCTCCTTATCCGGGTTAGTTATTTGCAGAATACGAGAATGACACTAGCCTTTTAAATGACATTAATAACCAGTTTTCCACTCAGAGTCACAACAAAAGATAATAAAACATAGCTGGAGAAGAGCATGGAAGGATAAGAAGGTAAGGAACACTGTTCAGGATGTACATGGTACATGTGCAGCACACATATGAGAAACAAACAGCCCATAAACTTTTAAATTAATCACTGCCCAAAGTATTTGCAAAGCTTTTTCATGTTGACTGAGTGCAGTTACACACAATGTCTCTTTCATCAGCAAACATTCGAAATCCTCAAAATGTATTAACACCCAAATGTATTCACAATCTCTTTCTTCTGTTATAAACGTACTTCGGATTTGACACTTTTTTCCTCCTGAAGAGCTGGTACTACAGTGAACTAAGGGGAACATTTAAACAACATGAAAGATGATGGTAGGATCTGGTGATTATATTTAGGGAATAACTATTTCTTTCACTGTCTTCAAGGTATTAGTAATGACTAAATTGATTTTTTTTAAAAGTAGTGACGTTTGAAATGTACAAAGGCAAGGTAAGAATGAGTGTCTACCAAGGAAAACTGCTATAATCTGGCCATTGTTTTGAATCATAAAACTCCAGTACTTGCTTTAGGAGGAATATACCTTTGTCAAACATTCTCCTGCAAAATACACAAACACTAAAGACCGTTCTGCACCATTCTTTTCTTTGTTGTCACAGTCCAGTGCTAAAGCCAATTTGTAAAAGAATACTGTGGTTTTAATGCGTAATCCCTTTCCCTCTGGTACAGGTTATCTAGAGACAACAGGATCTTGCAAAATGCTTCATTTTGATTTTGGCTTTGTGACCTTAAGAGGATCAAGAACCCTAGAATCGTCATGGGTTGTGCTTTTCCAGCTTTACTTTTAAGGTCTCCTGATGCAATGGGGTCTATGGTCTGGCCCCACCCTCCTACCTGACACATTCACTTGTATAACCTCACACCAGGATATTGAATAGATGTCGCCTTTTAGGGCAACTCCAAAAGACTGGGTTTTGAGACCTTTGGGGGCTCAGTAGGGAAAGAGCTGGGAATGACCTGTAATGTCTGCCCTGGGCACAGGGGCTGGGACTGTGTCCTGCCAAACAAGCCACAGCACATGCCCTTTTCTGTGGTCAAGACCTGTACTTAGTTTCCTTAGAACATGCTATGTTCACCATCTGTCCTCCCTCATGCATTCACTGTGTTCTCACCCCACCCAGAACAGAATTCCATTCCTTTTTCTTTCTGTCTTGCCATTTAGAATTGAGCACAAGTCAATCTTTTTGGATAAAGTTTCTTTAACTATTTTTAGCCTATGCCACACAATTTAGATCACTTTTTTATTGTTGCATACACACACACACACACACACGCACATGGGTAATTCAAAAAGTTGGTGGAAAAATAAAATTAATAGATAATATGAATCTCTATGAATTTTGTGAAGACTCCTCGTGTGTGTAAGTGTGTGTGTATATAAATATATACACATTTCTGCAACATGTACATTTGCTTTATCTCCCCAATGAGACTGAAAGTCTGTTGGGGGCTGAACCCATTTGTCTTGTATCTTTTAATACTACAGGCACATTGCTAAATGCCTAGCAGGCACAGAGTTAAAATCAAGAGTTAAAGCATAGCCTCTTTAAGAGCTGCCAATCAAATTACCTTGTAGAGGATGTGCTGGGTAACGACCTCCTCATTGCTCCTGGACTCATGCTGTAGTATGAAGAACTTTCCAAATCTGAGAGAGAAAAATTTGGGCCAGTTCCTGCAGCGATTGGTGCTAGAATTTAAAAAAGGAAAGAAAGAAAGAAACAGTTAAGCTCAGTGAATAAAAGATCAATGAGAGCGTATTTCAGTGTTGCATTTAGTGCATTTTCTTTTTGCATTTATATGGTAAGCTTATCCAAAATAATAGGTTAATCAACTCTGACTTCAAAGGAATGTTGACATAAAAATAGTCTATACCAAAGAGGCATATTTTTTCTAATGTACCTTTCATCTTTTTTCTTGTTGTAATGGTAAATTGTCACCGAGTTTGTAATACTCCTGGATACTTTTAACAAAAATACCTTTCCATGTTTTAGTCTTAAACTTTTCTTGAGTGACCAGCCAAAAACACTCCTCAGGCTTTTCTAATTTTGTCTGATCCTGATAACTTCTATTTCATCTGTATTTTAGAATTCTGTTCTGAACTTTGGTAGAAGTGAACACATCTTTCTACGCCACCCATTCCCAATTTCTTGCAATGTGAAATGTGTCATTTCTTCTTATTCTGAATCACCTCAGCAACTTGCACACATATTTACGTTAACATTTGTCCCACCTTGTAATTTATGGCAGGGTCCTCAAATTATGGCCCCGAGCCATAGTGTTTGTAAATAAAGTTTTACTAGAACACAGGAATACCCATTCAATTTACATAATGCCTATGGGTGCTGCCACACCACAACATCACAGACTAGGAGCTGCAACAGAGACCACATGGCCCACAAAGCCAAAAATATTTATCATCTGGCCCTTTATAGAAAATTTGCCCACTTCTGATTTAATTTTCATTATATATGATTTTCAGAACTGTCTCTGGTGTGAGATGTGATTCCTTGTATTTTTTATGTCCTTGAGCTTCTAGATGCTTTGTTTAGAATAGACTAAGAATTTTTGAATAAAAAGATAATATATACGAATTTTCTAAAGCAACTCTGTGTAAAATTAGTGGTGAGAACATATTAATGAAAATAATCTCTCTTTTGAAAGATTATGCAGAAGCAGGAACAGTAGATGCATATACTACTGTACTGAGGCACTGGTCTGAAAGTTAAGCCCATATAAGTGCATATATAAACAAATTAAATACAGGTTAATATTTATATGAAGAAAGGATAATTCGGAACATTGTAAGCCAGGGACTTTCATTCACTCAAGAAATGATTACTGAGAGCCTCCTATGCCAATCTGTGCTGGGGGAGGAAGGCACCTGGATGAAAGACACAGTCCCTATCTTTAAGCAGCTCTGGAGGAGAAGCCTGACAGATTAATTTAAAGACAGTCTGAGAAGTTCGGTGATACTTATTCCTCAATTGACATGGCTGCATAGAGGTGGGTATCTAACCAAGCTTGGGGATAAGAGGTTCAAGAAAGTAAAGGGGTCCTAGAAAATGTGATCCCTGGGAAGAATGTTAAAAAGACAATTATTAATTATGCAACTGTGAGAAATGGAAGGTTTCTAGGTAGAGGAAACAGCATAAAAGTAAGAGAACATAAAATATTTACTGGGTTTCTAATAGCTTGGTTTGATATAGTGTACAATACACGGGTAAAAGAGGGAATAGTTAAGGTCAGGTCATGAAGAATCTGATAGGTTTCTTTAAGGAACTTCAATTTGAATCCTGCAGATTCCCAAATTTATAAGATATGAAAGCACATATGATACTCCACTATATTGGGAATTGGTGGGGTTATATTGCCAGCATCTAATATAATCCCTGACACCGGGAGGCAATCAGTAAGCACTGGCTGAATGGAACTGGTTGTTATACTGAGTTTTATTCACTAATTAAAGGAGAACCAGCAAGGTATGTAATGTCATCATCAAATCTGCATCTCTGACCCCGAAAGATCACTCTGTCATAAGTGTAGGCATGGGGGGCTAGAAGAGGCAGGAGGCTGAAGAATATAATCAGTGAGAGAGAGTCAGAGAGGCCACTGGGGTCATTTAAACAGGGTAAGATGGGGACGGGGTCTAAACTCAAAGTATGGAAAGGAGAGTCTGATGCAAGATACTCTGGAGCTAGAATCAAGAAAGTGTGTTGACTGCTTGACTGTGGTAATAATGAAAAAGGAGGAGTATGGGACGATTCCCAGGATTACTGCTTGGGAAACGGGGTCAATTGTGTTGTAATGGAACCACGGAATCAAGAGAAGGTACGAGGGAATACAACAATTTCTAATAATAAACACTTAGTTGTTTAATAGTGATAAACAACCTTAATCATAGTTGTCATTATATAAAAACAATCACTGCTAAGAAGTGGAAAACTCAGAAATTCACATGTATTTTTCAAACTTTAAACACATCTCTCAATGGCAGGCACTAATGGAGAAGGAATCTTTAGTTCAAAAACAAATGGTTAGGATGACAATCAGTGTAAACGGAACTCTAATTAATAATTTTGCTAGTTATTCCCTAATTTGCTTTTTATGTCAAATTTATTTGCATAATTTCCCCTTTTATTTCAGGATATTTTATGCATGAAATAGGCCACGGAGGAGAGTGGTGGGGAAGATTACTCAAATACGGCCCAGATTGCTCCTCATCACTCTTAGTGGCCTGACATGTAATAGGTACTTATTAATGCTTTGTGCCTTCCTGGAGCTTAGAGATTCACACCTCTCATTAACTAAAGAAGAGCGATAAGGCTGATCGGTGTCAAAGGTCTGGATTTAGGTTTTCTTCACAAATTTCAGAATGGAGTTGAGGGCTCAGCTGGATGGAGAAGCCACTTATTCTTAAGCATGAAGGAAACTGTATTTTGGAATTCTGTTTTGAACTTTGGTGAGAGAGAATTCTTCTTTCTAGGCCACCCATTTCCTATCTCTTGCAATGTGAAATTCATCTCAAAACGATCCTCACTATCTGGCTCTCAGAAGGACAGAAAGCAGGATGTGAATGAGACAGACTGGATCTGCACTGGGAGGGGAAGCCTGAGGCCTTCTACCTAGTGGTACACATCCAGCAGCACTGAAACTGAACACACTTTACACACTACGTTAGCTATCCTAGAAAAATGTCTTTTGCCTCGATTATCTTTTTAAAATGTCAAGGGAGCCAGAACAGATGAAGGAAGAAAACTGTGTGTGTAAATACGGCATGCCCACCTCTCAGACAGGTTCAAAATATGATTAAGCCCACATAACTGCTCCTTAACTTGCCCCTACATTTACTTCCCTTGAGCCACTTATCACCCTGTAATTGTAATGCGGCAAAAGGCACCAGGCAGCTTGGCATCATGGTGATACTTCCCAAAGTGTCCATTGGACTTCTGGTGAGTAACTCTAGAGCCTGGCACACCGGTTTATATGTGCCTTGAATTTTAAAACATCACTAAGTTTCTGAAATGAAAATGGGTTTCACAACAAGGGTTAAATAATCCTAACAATGCACAGACCCAAACTCTGTCTTCTTTGAGAGTTCCATTAAGGAAACATCCTGCTGCTACTGTCTGTGTATACATATCACAGGGAGGGTCAGCTTATTGGAATAGATTCTGACTCGGTGACACCGTTATGGCCTTTCACCTAAGGGTAGTAGGGGTCCCTGTCAAAGTTGTCCCTGCAATGGATTGAGTATTATCAGTGCCTCTAATCTGGAGAACAGGAAGAGCCTTTGACAGGTAACAACGAAAGAGGTAGGGCTTTAGGCAGGCTTTTCCAAGTACCTATGAAGCCATGTTTTAATAGCACTTTATTTACTGTGTCTAATTTAGTCCTCAAAAAAAACCTTCCTGGGGAAGTACATTTCCAACATGAAGAGAACTAAGATGTGGAATGAGATAAAATAACTTGCCCTCAGTTACAGAAAGGCAAAAAAGAGAGAGCCAGGGTTAAAATTTAAGGATGTCTGACCCTGAAACCTGTGCTTTTCCTTCCGTATCACAATGACTCTCATACAGAGTATTGGCTTTAAACTTGAGATAATAAAAAGGCATTATAGTGTCTATGCCCCCAGAAGACTTACAACCTATGTGGAATATTAAAATAATACCTGAATATCTAAAACAATGCCAAATTAAGTCGCACTGGAGAAATGCAAAGAACGTGTTAGTAAGGTTCAAAGGAGTAATAGATCCCATTGGCTTGTGAGATCAGAAAAGGTTTGATTCCAGGAAGAGCTGGCACTTAAGCTGAGGCCTCAAGGATGGTTCAGACTTAAAAAGGGAGAGAAGGAGACAGGTGAGGCTTTCTAGGCAAATGACAAAGCACGTGACAAGTTTGGAGGTAGGAGGTAAAGTGAATGACCTGTGGGATCCATGACAGTTTCTGAGTAGGGAAGTGGTAAGATAATTGTCGAATCTGAGGAACATTCACATGGCAACAGTATACAGAAGGTGCAAAAGGGGGCTCAGGTTCTGGAGGTGGGAAATCAGTTGGAAGGTTGATGCAGGAGTCCTGGGCAAGAAGGAACAGAGGCCTAAACTATGCTGTCAAGAAGAAAATAGAATTTTTAAAATGGATAGCTGACACCTCCTCCAGGACAGTAAACAGGTCTAAAAGACCTGTTCCCAATTGTGCACTATGAAAGGGCATAAATAAATACAGGATCATATTCTTCTAACAAATATAAAATACCAGTAAGATGTATATAACACAGTGCACTTCTTTGCTAACATAACTAAAAAGCTACATTCATTTTGCAAATTAGGGAACTAAAAAAAGTTGTCAGGGGTTAAATGACTTGTCCAGTGTCACTTAAGTTCTGGCCTGCCCAGGATATCACATTGGGCTTCTGAGGCTAAAGACTAACTTTTTGCCTATTGGTGTGTTGCAGAGATTAAATAGCCATTGCCAATCAAATGTGGAGATGTTAAGGACCAACCACAGCACTTCCTTTCTCTGCCATATATTGTGAAATATGATTTCACTGCATTTGTACTTAACTCTAGGCTTTATTATTTTTTCATTGTCTCATTTTCTCCCCAATTAGATTGAGTTGCATTTTGAAGTCTATAATGATAGACATCATGCAGCACAAAAAAAGTGCTAACCCGGGACTGGGAGAGATGA